CTCCTCGTAGTCTATAGTAAAACTTAATATATACTCTAGTATAAATAAGAACGCTATTACTTTAGCCTAAAAGAGCTAAATTCTAAGTAACTTAGTTAAGAAATTATTAGCGCTATAAAATACTAACGCGTAGTATAAAAGGCGTAAATAGAATAAGCTACCCGAAGAAAGGATTTCTTAGGAGACTTAGAAAGGAGTATAGCGCGAGGACTCCGCGGATCTCGTACGAAGGTAAGGCGCGATATATATATCTTATAATCTTAGTATAAAATTAAAGATCTTAAGGGCGAATTATAATAACTTCTAGTAGAAAGGCTATTTCGATCGAAAAAGAATTCTTACTATTATTAAGCGCTTTTATTAGTAGTCTAAACTAGCGAAGAACGTACGAACCTATATTTCTTTATATAATATATATTAACGTATAAAAGTATCGAGATATAAGCTATACGAACTATTAGCGATACTACTATAGCCGGAAAAATCGTAGTAGAATATATTTATAGACTTTATAACGAGACTTTCGTCCTTAATTCGTAGGAAAATAGCGTACGACGCGCTACTTATAGTAGTATATCGACTATCTAAAATAGTTCGCTATATTTCGTACCGCGTAGAAATTATAGCCGAAGAGCTAAGAGATATCTTAGTAAAAGAAATATTTACTTAATTCGATATATTTCGGAGTATTATAAGTAATAGGAGTACGATATTTACTTTAGTATACTAGGAAATTCTATACTATTACCTAGTAATTAAGCGGCGGTTTTCGATCGCGTTTTACCCTTAGACCGATAGATAGACTAAGAGAATAAATTAAACTCTAGAATATTATCTATATTACTATATTAATTACTATTAAGACGACTAGGTTATACTACTACTTAACGCGAAGTATACTTATAATTAAACGATTAATACTACGACTAAGAAAATACTATTTTCTTAAGTCTTAATATTTAAATTTATAATAAATATTAATATCGTACGAAAATTATAGAAGGGTAATAATAACTTCGTACGAGCGAAAGCTAGAGCGCTTAAAGAAGCTCGATAAGAAACTATAGTATAGTAGGAATAAATATAATATAGTATAGTAAAGTACTATAATAAGCGCCGAGAGCTACGAATATATACTCTAGAAAACTAAGTTATACTATCTTCTAAATTTATTTATATACGAAGAATAAGTAAGAAACTAGATAACTAGTTCTTAAGGCCTTTTAAAGTACTTAAGGTAGTAGATTAGAATATCTATATACTAAAGCTATTAACGAAGTATAGAAGGCTATATAATATATTCTATATATCGTTACTAAAATTATATTATATACGACCTAAGGGCGAGAAGTCTAGACCTATCGACGTAGACGAAGATAAATAGTAGAAAGTCGAAAAGATTCTCGACTACTAAAATACTAAGGTAGAACGTCGATATCTAGTTAAGTAGAAGGGTTTCTCTAAGGCGGAAGATACCTAGAAACCCGCGGAATACCTACTAAACGCGGATAAACTACTCGCTAAGTTTAGAAAGATATATAATCTTTAAGAACTTAAGTAAATAAGATTACGAGTAAAAATTAGAAAGTAGAAATAAAATAAAAATATCTTTATAAGGCTTATTAAGGATATAGTATATATAAGGTATATAAGATAACTACTACTTAATAGCTATAGAGCTAAAGAATAATAAGAAGTTAGAATTTAACTTTAAAAACCTATAAAAGTAGAATATAAAATAAAAAAGTATACTATTAGTATAGTAGAATAGTATTTAAAGCTAGAAATCTACTTAGAGCTAGGACTAGAGCTAGAGTAATAATTAGAATTCTTAGTAGAACTATTAGTTTTAGGACGTTTTAAAGGTATAGTAGGAAATTTAGCTATAAGTCGCTTACGAGTTACCTACTTTATAAGTTTATTTAATAATAATTATTTTAAGTTAGTAAAAGTATAGAAATCTCTATTAGTAGTACGAAGCCGCTTATCCTTATTACTATTAGTATCTATATAGAAGTATCGTCGTACTCGTCTAGTAAGCTAGTTATCGATAGCTTTAATCTTAATATCTTCTATTATTATATCGACTCTAAGCTTACTAGCGATTAAATTATATAAATTTCTCTTAGGCTAAGGAGGTAGAGTAATTCGGGCCTAGAGAAAGTATTAATATAAGGAAAGTATAGGGATAGTAGAAGAACCTATAGCCTAAGCTTAAACTTTAGCTAAAGTTCTAATAGTATTAAGTATTAGAAGAGATATTATAGAATTAGGATTCTTCTTATCTAGTTTAGTAATCGAGAAGCTTATAAATTTATTATAAGATATAACGCTAGAAGTAATATAGCGAACTATACGATTAATTACTTCTATAATAGAACGATCTAGTATAGGATTAGTAAGGAAATAGCTAGGGAGATAAAAAGCTTACTAGAGTAAATAATCTAGCTAATACTACTAGGCTTAATAGAATCTATAGTAAACTTAACTAGAACCCTTATAGTATAGATTAAATATAAGGATACCTAGGAGGTTAAGATAGAAATAGTATAGAAAAAGGAAACTTACTACCTTATAAGTATAATCCTAGATTCTATACTAAGTATATTTTCTATTCTTAGTCTTATATTAAATCTCTCTATCTAAAATAGAGTTAATATATACTTAGTATAGAAAGAGTAAGCTTACTCTTATTAAGTAATACTTAGTTATTTCTTCTTAAGGATCTTATATATCTTATATAAATATACTCGATAATTTTATTACTAATATCTCCTTAGATTAATAGAACGAAGGCTTAACTAGATAGTATACTAGATAAGTATAATTAGTATACTAAGTTAACTTTAACTATCCTAGGAAAAAATAGAAACTTATATAGAAATTCTAAATAGAAATAAGAAGATAAGTAGCTAGTATACTATTAATAGGAAAAAAGTAGAGGACTAATTATAGGACTTACTAAGGGAAGGAGTCTTAAGGAATAAAAGATATAAAAAAAAAAAGAAGAAGAAGAAAAATAAAGTAGAGGAAGGTTAATATACTCTTTACCTAGGAATTAATCGCTAAGACCTTAACGAAAATTAAATAGCGAGGACTAAATAATTAAAAAGTTTAGCCTTATAGATATAGCTTACTATATATACTATACTAGAATACGAGAAGTACGCGAAGTTTTACTAGAATTAAGTAAATTAAAGTAAATACGAAATAATCTCTAAGAGTAGAATAAATTAGGATTAAGAGCGATCCTAAGATTAGGAAAATATATTACGTTTTTTTTAATATTAATATAAAACGTATATAGCGCTATACTAGAACGCTACTTCTTACCTACTACTTTTATACTTAAGAACGAGTATACTTCGGGGGAGAAGAGTAATTATTATAGAATAGGACTACGATAGACTCTAGAAGTACCTATTCTATACTAAGACTAGTCCTAAAATACTAAGGAGCCTAGTATATAAGACCTTAGGGGCTATACGAATCGTATACGAGGTTTTTAGACTCCTTAAGTTCTTATAGTCGATATTCTAAGGACTATATAGTAATTAATCGATTATCTTAGTATTCTCGTTAAGTTACTTATACTCTTATAGAAGTATTTCCTTTATTCGTATAGTAGATAGATTTTCTCTTTTCTTTTCTCTCCTTAGCTTTAGAATCCTCGTTATACGATAGTTAGACGAATTACTCTAAATTCCTAGCTAAACCCTTATAATTTCTTCTAGTTAACTTTAATTAGTTATTATTACTTACTTTTCGGGTACGACTCGCGGCCGCGTTAATTACTTAGCGCGGACTAGGACGCGTCTAGTCCTTCGCCGTTCGTCTCGTCCTCTACTATATCGGCTTCTTCGCGAGTCGTATACTTTTCTCGTACGATACTCGTAATATCGCCTCTCTACTATCGTATAAGTCTATCTTATAGCTATCGTATGCGCGTACTTCGAGCTCTTTAGTTCGAAAATTAGAGATCTATATAGTAGTACCTTAATAGATATAAAGATACTCGGAGCGTAATATACTCGCTAGCTTTATACCCTAACATCCTCTCTTACCTTAACCATTACTACCGGCAACTACCTTTTGGGTGAAGTGTAAAAGTGTCTCTAGACATATTACTATTTATGTGGATGAAATCCCTGATTCTTTATATGTACTCTACTAAATAAACTTCTTTCTTCGCCCGGTAGAACAGTGAACGTCCTTTGTTCTACGAGCCATTAAGCCATAGCGATACTTTGTTTAAGGTACCGCAAATCCGTGGTGATCTTAGTCCTCGGGCGTTGGCTCAATGCAGTATCCGTTATGGAACACTCGTATAGATACGCTAGTAATTTCATATTAATCAAGTTTAGCGCCTCGTAACAACATAAAACAATAAATATTAGACGCCTAGTGGGCTAAAGCACGGCTATGTTAAAACAAAAACTTCTCTTACTATGTTCTAATATTTACAAGTCTGCGAGTAGTCAAGAATCAATATTGTTGTTGGTGGCTGGAATGGATCAACTATTTACCGAGCCGGATGAGAATCATGTAGATATGGCTAGGAGTCTTGCACATATTTGCATGAATAAACTTTCTCCAAAAAATTTCATGTTCACGTAATCGAATGAGAATGTGGGCCAGATTAGTATTCTTCTATTTTATTTCGGAGCCTAGGCGTGTTGGGGACTGTGCGCCTTAAGGCCGGGGTTGGGAGTCCGGTGTAGAATGGCTATTTTATGCGCGAGAGAAAGTCGTCCGGGGACTTGGACACACACTAAATCTTACCTCTTCAGATCTGGGGTGTGGAGTTTGAGGTACGACCTCTGTCGAAGGCAGCTACTAGACTGCGGTACACGGGACGCCTGAGCGATGATCGGCTAGCACTGTTGCATCGTGAAGTCTAGGTCTGATGGAGGTACAAATACTCGAGCAACCCGCAACTCGAACCAATGATGGAGTTTTCTCGCACAGTACTGTCGACCGTCTAGACTTCGCTCAACAAGATGCGTTTTCCGAACCAAGCTCGATGTCTATGGCCTGCGCTGCTGCTACTTCCCTCGACGTTGGGTTCTCCGCTAGGCGGAGTTGGGGCTGATCGAGCCACCAATACCCACTTCGACTACGTCATTCTCGGCGGCGGCACAGCCGGTCTAGTCCTCGCCGGGAGGCTCTCGGAGGATCCTAACGTCACCGTCGTTGTGGTCGAAGCTGGAAACTTCGAAAGAAGCAACCCCAACGTGACGACCGCCAGCGCCCTTGGCCTGGCGAAGAACACGCGTGTTGACTGGCAGTATGAAAGCGTCCCTCAGGTATATGGAGGGAATCAGAGCCTCATATGGAGCGCTGGGAAAGGACTGGGTGGATCCAGCCTGATCAATGGCATGACCTACATCCGGCCTGCTAGCTCTCAGATCGACCTATGGCCTTCTCTGGGACTGGACCTGGGGTGGAAGGAATATTTTGCTTCGGCAAAGAAGTCAGAGCACTTCCAAATTCCGTCAACCAACCTCACCACCATCGGCGCGGCCTATCAAGAGTCTGCCCATGGATTTACTGGTCCGCTTTCGACATGCTACAGCCCACATATCTCAACGGGAGACATTCACGAAATCTTCAATGACACGTTCAAAGCGCTAGGTATCCCGCCAATCCATGATTTCAACGACGGGGATCTCAGGGGCTTTGGCGTGCAGGCGGTCACTCAAGACGGCCATGCGGATATCAGGGAGGATGCTGCCCAGGCGTACTATTACCCAGTGCAGAATCGTTCAAACCTCGTCGTGCTGGTCAACACCACCGCGACCCGCATTCTCTGGTCGGCCAACGATAGCGACGACGGTAAAGCCGTGGCTTCAGCAGCTGAAGTTATCTCTCAGACCGGCGTGATATCAAATATCTCAGCAACCCGGGAGATCATCCTCTCGGCGGGTGCAATCCGCAGCCCTGGGATTCTCGAGCACTCCGGAATTGGAAACCCAAAGATCCTCTCTAAACACTCCATCGATATCAAAGCCCCTCTTCCGGGCGTAGGCGAGAATTTCCAGGACCAAACCACCATCGCGGTCGTCGCTGCCACCACGAGAAAGGAGAATTTCACCGGCCTGCCCGCGTTTGTGGCACACGTGTCCCTCCAAGATCTGCTGGGGCCGGATACCACGTCATTCTATAACAAGACACTATCCCAGATTCCCCACTACGCCGAACAGATTGCAGCGCAAAACAACGGCGCATCCAACGCCTCGGTCCAACAACGCCTGCTCCGCACACAACTCGACCTGCTCTATGACTCCAACACGCCCACGGCGGAAATCGTCCCCCTCGCCCTCGTCAACCTCGTCGGCGTCATCTCCTGGCCCTTGCAGCCATTCAGCCGAGGGAGCGTTCACATCACCTCATCCAACGTCACAACCCTTCCAGCAATCGACGGGAAGTTCTTTCAATTCGAAATCGACGGCACCCTGGCTGTCGCGAGCACAAAGTTCTCGCGCAAGGTGGTGGCAACCTCACCGTTCTCGGATATCGTCAATGCGTCGACGTTGACGCCGGGCTTCACCCTCGTTCCTGAAGATGCCAGCGATGAGGTCTGGCTAGACTGGATCAAGACGAAGTCGGCGTACCAGCCGAATTATCACCATTTGGGAACTTGCGCAATGTTGCCGCGCGACATGGGCGGCGTGGTGGACAACAACTTCACAGTCTATGGGACCAGCAATGTTCGGGTTGTGGATTTGAGTGTGATTCCATTTCAGGCTGCGGGACACTCCACGGCCCTGTTGTACGGTGTGGCGGAGTGGGCTGCTGAGAAGATTAAGGAATAGAACTTGGAAGCCGTCTCTGACAAGGATGGCATACAGTGTGGATACCGCGTGATGGCGAGGCGGAACGCACGCAGCTCGCTCTGAGTGCACCTGCCTGTGCTGCTAAGAAAATTACTGACAAGTCGATCACTGTCACTGTTATCGGCGCGCACAAACCTGACGACCCAGTAGGGGTATCGATCCTCTAGGCCTGCATTTGTTAACTATGCCGTGTGATATTCAGTGAAACAAATGAAATCTACCTGGGTGACAGACGGGGAGTAGCCGTCCTAGAGAGCCAACCATGAATGGAACTTTTTGCATAATCATGACCATGTAGGATCCCACCCTGCCTGCATAAAAATAGGGACGGGTGCACAGAATAAGCGGTCACATAACTAAACGGTGCACAGAATAACACTAGCCCTAGGAGGAAGGTTTGTCACGTGGTTCCCACGTGACAGCGACAGAAAGCAGAATACTTACATCGAGAAGGGATGACGGCGTACGAACTGGCCGAAGTAGACAGCCATGTTGTATAGGAAAAGCGAGCCCGCAAGGGAATCGCAACGGGGGACAGTTAACTAATAGATGAGAGGAGGGATAGACTAATGATACCGTACTATGGGGAGGTGGCCAGCGGAAGGAGGATGAAGCTATTCGCACGCTCAGCCACATGTCGTGAGCGTAAAAGACGGGAGAGAAAGAAAAGAAAGCGGGGAAGCGCTACTAGGTCGAGCTAACCACGACGGGCAAAGCCGACCCAGCTAACCGCTAAGACGAGATAATGAGGAGTATAATGTTATAATCCGAGCTACAAGCAGTTCTAACCAAGGTAGGGTTCCTTGATAGAGTAGGTACTAGAGTATTAACCAAGATGATAAAGGGAATACTTATTCGTCGGACTATATCCTAAAATATAGGTATAGGATTACTAACGAAGTTAACTACGAACTATTCTATCTAGGTAAAGGAGCGTATATATATAGTACTAGTCCGGACTGTAGACTTTCCTAGACTATATTTATAGTCTATAGTCCCTTATAGTCCATCCCTTAGTCACGTAACGTAGCCTCGTTCTCCATCGGCTAACTTCCTCGTTTCCCTCGAGTGTAGGCGGCTTATCCTTGGCGACCCTTCCAGTGACCTAGTTCGTAATATATAAGGAGAATAATTAATCGAGGCCTTTCTATCCTATGCACTCGGCTTATTCTATACACTAAATTCTAACCAATAAGGACGTAGTACACTAAACAATAGGTTACATGCTACTAAGAGTACACCGTTTACCAGCCCATAGGTTATAGATTAGCGGCACCCTTATTAGGGTTAATAGGTTCCCTAACGGCTTTTAGTTAGGAATGTCTAAGTCTAGGTACTACGTAATAAAACACCCTAGTAATGAAACACCCTATTTTTTACTACTAATAGTACTATAATTATAATTTACTAATTATATAGACTTATTAGTACTAAATTAATGTATAAATAGTACTAGGGTATTATTTAACTACCTATTCCGCGTAATATTTCTAGTATTCGGTTATATAGAAGACCTCGTCGTCGCCTTTAATACCTCTATTTCCTACCTAGCCTACCTAATTATCTCGATATTCGTAAAGACTTTATTATAGTCGATTACGATACGCGGTTATCTCCTAGCGAATAGCTTATCTAGTTACGTACGTTAAATAGTAAGTTATTATAATTTTAGGGTAATATTCTACTATAGTCGATCTAATACCTTACTAGTTTTTTAAAGTAGTAAACGGACTAATCGAGAAACGGTCTTACGTCCTATCCGAGGGATAGGGTTTAGATCTATAGTAGAAGTAGCTAAAGTTAAAAGAGTAAAATATATCGTAGTTTTCTATCTTAGTAAATAACTTAGGGTCTATCTAAGTAAAAGAGTATAGGCCTATATTATATAGGCGTAGGCTCCGTCGTAATATCTCGTAAGTACGAGAGTAATAGCCGAGTATTCGTAAATACGAGTTAACTCTTAGGATGCTTAGAAATTAAGTTGAGTAATTTCTAATCCTATAGAATAGAATAGCGTTTTATAGAATCTTTCGTAAGGCTTAAGTATAGCCTTACCTAAAGGATACCGCGTAATCCTAGCTTATATAAGCCTAATTACGTAACTAGGCGTTTATAGGGTATCGCTTAGTCTTAATATTCTATAAATAGTAAAGTTAGTGTATAAGCCTATAGTACTTAGGTACGAGCCTAGCGAGCCTATAGGAATTAAGGTTTACCCTATAAGCTCATGATAAGCATCTATTGCAGCCTAGCGCTACGAGCCTACGGTAGCCTAGGGCTTACTAGGCTACCCGGTCTAAAATATAGATGTACCTATTATTACAATATTTTATATACTTTATAATATTCTATTTTTTATTTATAGCCCTATTAGGTTTTAGACCCTATCTTCTTATTTTTTAACCCGATTTAAAAACCTAATTAACTTAATCCTATTAAGTTAGGTTTCGAGTTTTTAACTAGGTTTATCCTAACCTATTACGTAGCCTAGCCTTATTTATAAAGGTTACTACTACTAAAACTTAGGCTATATAGTTATATAGTTAAACTCGTAGAAGGAAAATACTCTTAATTCTATAAACTATATTCTTATAACTACTATTTTATACTTAACGTATACTCTTATACGTTCGTTACTCCTTGTTCCGTCCTCTTATTATACTTTCTTACTTATCTACTTTTCTCCTTGCTTACTTATTTTTCCCATACTAAGGCCCCTTCTCTCTTCTCTTATAACTAAGCGCCTCGAGCCCTAATCAATACTAATATAGCCGCCCCTAGTTACGTAATGCAGCCTCGTTCTCCACCGGCTGACCTTCCTTATACTGTCCCTTAGAACGCGGGGTGCCTGTCCTGGCGACCTCATCCGTGACCTAGTTCGTAATAGATAGATCCAAGAACGCTTTCATGAAGCCTACTAAAAGCCAGCTACTTTCGAACCTGATATAGTAGGTGGACATAGGCAACCTTGAAGAACTGAAGTTGATCAGGAAACGCCAGCAATACCTGCAGCAGTACGGAGCAACTTTCCTATTCGATCGCGACCTTGGTGGGCCAAATCTACTTGTTTGCTTATATGCTGGATCGAGAATCTAAACAACCTAGAAAGAAATATATATAGAGCCATCTAGCCCAACTACACTAGCAGAATTCAGGAACTGGACAACTCTGCCCTGCACAGCGGTAGATTCGGTAAGAATGACTATGTCAATGGGCGAAACAAGCCCAGTAGCAAGAACAAAAATGGTGATGAAGAACATGAGCGACGGAATCAGAGCGATCTCGATACCACTTGTTGAACGACAGGACCGGGGCCATCCTAAGTTGAACGAGGACATCCCAGCGAGATCACTTCAGAAGTTGAGACGGTATCAACGCCACTTCAAGTGAAGCGCTGCCAAAATGACCGGGAACACGCTGATGAGCTCCCCGAGCCCGGCATACGCAGGTTCGATGCGTACATTCACAAAAGCACCAGCAGCCAACAAGATGGCGATAGTGTTGTAGGTGAACGACCAGCCGAAGTTGAACTTGATCCGGTGCATCACCGCCTTGGACAGATCCACCAGGGCCAGGATGCCCTGGAGCGACGGCGTCAAAAGAACGGCGTCGGACGCGGATCTGGCTACTTCAGTCCCATTGTTGACGTGAACGCCAATGCTGGCTTGGGCGAGTGCGGGAGCATCGTTCGTGCCATCTCCAATGAAGAGCGTGATTAAATGTTTGAGGCTAGATGTAGTAAGGTCTTCGATATATTTCTTTTTGTCCCCTGGAGAGTATCGAGAACGGACGTTGACAGCTGGAATACCCAGTTCATCGGCCACCGCACGGACGGCGTTTTCCTCATCACCGCTAACAATGGAGATCTCAACCCCTCGAGCTCTAAGCTCTGATATAACCTGTACTGCATCTGGACGAAGAGTGTCTCGGAGTCCGTACGCTGCGATGAGTGTTGGACCTCGACGGACACAAAACACGGTGAGTTTCTGAGAAAGAAGATCCTGAACTTCAAGATTGTCCTCGGCACCGATCCATTTGACATTGCCACCACGAACCTTCACATTTGTCTCCGGAATATTCGCTTCCACGCCCTTGCCTACAACGGCAGTGAGCCCTGAGAGCCCAATCCGTTCAACATCTCCTTCTATTAGGTATGCCGCGACAGCGGCAGATATGGGGTGTTTGTTCTCCCTAGTAAGAGCTAGGGTGAGAGCCCTAGAAGTTGCAATTGGCCCATTTAGACATATCTCAGAGACGACAATGGGTTTCCCCTGCGTTAGCGTGCCAGTCTTGTCAAAGATGACATGACAAACCTTTCTGGCGCTGGTGATTGTTTCGCCGGTGCGAAAGACGAGGCCGTCCTTCGCGGCAACGTCACCAGCTATGACAACGACCATGGGGACTGCTAGGCCGATGGCGCAGGGGCATGAGACAATAAGGGCCGACAGTGCGTACGTAAGAGCATTGACAACTGCGTCATTGCTGCTTCTTCCTTGAATAGTTTTGCCAATCGCGATCCAGATTACAAAGACTGCAACAGTGATTCCAAGTATGGTTGGAACGAAATATCCCGCGACGTGGTCTGCGATCTCCTGGATTTTCGGTTTTGAATAATTTGCCTCATTCACCATGTCTGAAATGTTGGCGATAGTGTTCTCGTTGGGAAGTCGGGTCAACCGGGCGGTCACAGTGCCCGTTCTATTGACTGAGCCAGCAATCAATGGAGAGCCAATGCTCTTAGGAACGAGATCGGATTCTCCAGTCACCATCGATTCGTCCACCTCGGTACCACCAGAGAAAACCGTCCCATCTGTTGGAACTATCATGTCTGGGTAGACCTTGAAGATGTCTCCATACTGAAGCAAACGACAATCAATTGTCTCTTCCTGGTCCTTCTCGTCGAGAATAGTCGCTGTCGCAGCTTGTAGAGAATCAACACTGACAGATCCAATTGCCTTGTCGCGAGCGTAGGCGGTGGCCACACGACCACACATGATCAGCGTTATAAGAAGCGTGGACGTCTCAAAGAAGCTTTCGACCTCAAGAGGCTGACCTCTGACCATGCAAGCATATGCAATGATCGAGAAGACGTAGGCTGTACTCGTGCTGATGACAATCAGAAGATCCATTTCGATCATTCGTGCGAAGAACAGGGCTTTGAGCGCTTTCGGATAGAATGGGCCCGCAACAACAAATTGCACGATCGTGGCCAACGCAAGAGAAACTGCCCCGTAGGTGATTTTGTGCTCAGGTATAGGAGCCCACGCCAGGACAAGGACAGGGATTGTGAGGATGGCGGAGAAGATTGTCAACCACAGGGCGACCAAAAACTTCCTTCTACTGGCGTTCATAGCACTTTGCTTGAGGGAAGCTAGGGCGTCTTGCGGGCCAAGGAGTTCGCGAGAGATGTCTCTAGCGCCAATGACACGAGGGTCATAGATGATCTGAGCCTCGTGGTCGCCTGATTTGAGAATCTTCTGGATACCTTCGGGGAGCTCCTGATTCAGAAAGGGCTGGATTGCGCCTGCGATGATAACATCGAGAATACCACCGCGACGAATAACCTGTTTGCAGGCGAAATCGGTCATGCTTTCCAGAGTCTGAACAGTACTCTCGACAGTGCCCTTGGACGCTTCCAGATCGAGATCAAATTCTGCTTCCGCCCTTACCAGACTGGTACGAACATTATAAGCACCAGGAAGGGCCAGAATAGATTTGTAGAGCTTGGTCTCACATCCTGTACACGTCATACCTTGCACGCTGATAACTAGGTGCTCGAGTCCGCCTATGCCTTTTTCTAAGTCCACGCTGCGGGAGAGCCCTCCTATATGCTTATCGTTTCCTCCAGTTATTTGAGCGATGGACGACACCGGAGTCTCAGACTTCTCATCGGTCTCGCAACACCCAGTCTTGGCTGTGCACGAACATTGAACGACCGCCCCTTTCGGATGATAAGCATCGGCGTGCACTGCTCCGAGGGTGGGAATTTTCGGCGCTTCGCCGTCTTTGCTACAGCAGGTCTTCTTCAGTTCTTCGTCATGTTTGCGACAACATGCCTTTTTCGGAGGCACATCGCGGGAACTTTCACATCCTAAAAGAGTGAACTGGTTATCACGGCCACAGGAATCTTGTAGAACGCTTGGGGTCGGCTCCGTAGAGACTTTACAGCAACTCTTTACGGCGGGGTTCGGATCAACCGTAGGACTAGCCGGGGCAGCTGTGGGGATAGCTTTTGCACAACAATCCCTTTTTGTATGATCAGCAGCAGTTAAGGTGGGCGCCTTGACTGTTGGAGTCGGGCTTCCACAGCAGTTCTTCGTACAGCCCTTCTCATTTGCAGTCACGGTCTTGGTGGCCACTCTGAGTGCCTTGACTCCTGGAGTCGAGTCGCCACAGCAGCTCTTTTTGCAACCCTTAGCATTCGCAGTACCCGCTTTGGGAGCCAATTCATTATTCTGGATGTCTTCAGAGGCCTTGGTCGAGATAAGACTAGTCTGACTAGAGGTAGGTTCAAGACAGCACGACTTCTCGCCCAGCGCAATCAAATCTTTGCAAAGGCAATGGAGATCCTTCAACAAGAGTTCATATCGGTCGAAGGCTTTCTTGAGATGGCTATCGCAGGGTGTGGGTTCGGTATCAGAGACAGATGTAGCACTCTGGGCTGTGGGAAAGTATCAGCGATTGCTTCTGGCATAAATACATAGTAGACACACCGTCAAATGTAGGCCTAGCCCCATGGTCGATAGAGCAGGATGAGTTGATGCAATTACGGTGAGCAATTCGGCTGAGACACTTTTCTGATTGTCGTCAGCACGGTGGCGCAATTTGCTGGGATTTCTGGACTGTACCGTCGCAGCAGGCGACTCGGTGGCCCTGAATCGCTTTGACTTGGCATACACGGCGTCGACACTGTGGGCGAGAAGGTGAGGCCATCCCGTCGTCGGTAAGTGAAGAGGTAAAGTTACCAGGCTGTGGCTTGAAGCAGCTGGGTGAGGGACGGAGTGGGGGAAGTTTGGGAGGAGCAAGAGTGAGGGACAGTGTGATCGAGACTCAAGTCTAACCAAGTCAGTCCGTACATTGCGAGGGGGTTTGTTGGCCCCAAAAGCTTGGCACAGCCCTGTTGGATCAAGTCTGCTTTCGACAATTAATTATCCGATCCGCCCAACCGTAGGGCGCAGAATGGGACTGTGGCAGACTATCGGAGCATTGATAGAAAAATCGTGAACACTCACCGCTCACTTGATTTCCTGGTCTCCACGAACTCTGCATAGAAACTGCAAATACGCCCTAATTGAACATATCAAAGCTACAGAAAAGGGAGACTTGTCTTTGATTCTTCTACTAATGAATCAACTTCCTCATGAAATCCGCAATGCAGATCCGGAAACTCGGGACGAGATTAACAAGGACGACACTTTCCCATATCAGAAGTGTCGCTCTCTAAGCCCGGGGAAACTACTCTCACTCATTCCGAACAGCCAACAGCATTCCAGGAGGATATCTCGGCGGACGCTGCATTGTATCCATCTGTAGAGATGTCGTGGCTATTGTCGTGGCTCTGCTACTTGCGTTCACGATCGTAGGACTTGTAAGTGAATATTCGGAATTCTTGTCGTCGGCCTCAGTTGATGAAGTTGTGGTAGGACAACACCATGCAGGCTACAGCGGTTCCCACGATGACGAAGCACTTCGGGACAATTTCAGACATTGGTTGGTATACCTCGGTATAGTGAGTTTTCGTCTTGATAAAGTCCTCGCATGGGCGGCCAGACTGACAATCGTCTAGTCGGCTAACCGCTAGTTCGTTCCAATTCCTGTTTTCGCGAAAAATGTCTTGTTAATTGCCTTGGTCATCTTCGAGTGCGGCGTTTTGGTATGCGCACTAGTACCCACATCGTCGTTCTTCATCGTGGGAAGGGCAATTACAGGCCTAGCGACCGCAGGTGTGATTGCGGGTGCATTCTCGTGAGTCAACCAAACCCTCGAGATATTAATTAAAATGGTCTCCTTCTAAAGGTCTTCCAGCGTGACCGTACTAAGTTTCCCCTTGTCAAAACGATCTATCTTCGCTGGCCTCGGTGGCGCCACCGAGGCGGTTGCCTCATTATCGGTACCTCTTATAGGTGGTATAATCACGGATCGCTTGTCATGGAGATGGTGCTTCTATGTGGAATTACCTCTAATCGGAGCAACCTTCGTTATCGTGGCTTTCTTCTTCAGCACCAACGCCAACCAGGACAGACATCTAAAATCGGCGAGAACCTCAAGCAATTGGATTTGCTCGGTATGGCGTTCTTCGTCCCGTCCATTACCTCGCTCATGTTGGGCTTGCAACGGGGCGGCACCAAGTATGGATGGGTAGACAGACCTATCGTTGCAGTTTTTTGCTTCTTCGCCGTACTTCTACTTCTGTCTGCCTGGCTTCAATGCCGGAGACAAGACCGGGCGACGCTGCAACCTCGGATCATTTCTCGGCGGAACATTATATTTGGCTTCCTGTTTAGCTGCTCCAATAATGCCGCATTGTCTATCATCGAATATTATGTAGGTATTGCCCTTTTCAGCTCTACAGATCTTGTAGGCTCTTTGTAAAACATCATGGGCTATCTACATTCTAGGTATGATTTGCATATCGACCAACGATTGTAGATGCCCATCTATTTCCAGACGGTGAGAGGTCTGACGGCGTCAATGTCTGGAGTCATGGTCCTCCCATCAGTTGTCGCACTGATCCTTTCTGTGGCCTCTTCCGGCGTGCTGACATCCCTCATCGGATACTACAATCCGTTCATGCTATTGACGAGCATTGTCGCTCCACCTGCTGCTGGGCTGATGCCTACCTTGGGAGTCGATGCAAAAGTTGCCAGCCTCATCTGTTATCAATAATTGTTGGGATTCGGTGTCGGCATTGGCTTTCAAGGTCCGCAGGTGGCAGTTCAGACCATCTTGTCCCAAAAGGACGCTTCGATTGGAATTGCCGTTATTCAATTCGCTCAGGGGATTGATCCTGCCGTATCTGTTGCCATTGCACAGACCTTGTTCACCCAAAAACTTGCCGACAACGTCAAAAATTACGCTCCAGACGTGGATTTCTCGTCTCTGAGTCGCGATGGTCTGATTAAGTTGAGCTCTCATATCAAGCCAAATAATCTTGAAGGAGTAATTTCTCAGTATTGACAATGCAATGACGCAAACATTCTACCTATCAGTTGCCCTATCGTGCATTATCCAATTAGGTGCGTTGGGAATGGAGTGGCGCTCGGTCAAGAACAAAAAGGCTTAATGAGTTGCATTAGCTATTTGACACAAGAATCCTCGAACTGAAAAGATTCCATATTCTCTTTTGAATGTTGGGGAGCTACTCTCCAACAGGTTCAAGCCACGGAATCATACCCATTATCCAGCCAACGACATATGCAATAGGTCCCGCCATCTCGTCCAGTGTGTTAGTTGAAGGAAATGTTTTGAGAGCAGCGACACCGAGCCGCATGATGGTGGATTGGTCGGTTGAGAGAGGCAGGAATACATGCAGGAATACATTTGCTACAGCCTCGCGCGGCAGCAATTTGTGCAATGTGGGACGCTGGTAGTGGATAGCCAAGATGGTCACCGCCATTGGCAGGCCTAACCCAAACAATACATAGCTTGCGGTGATCGTCCACAATGTGTGTTGACCGTTCGGGAGGACGTTCATCACCAAACTTCCGGTACCACCGGCGACAACAGTGCTGGATATAGGCATGTGCTGTGCGTCATTTATTTATTCAACCGTAGCTCTTCGTCCGCGTTATGCTGGTAGAATGATCAAACACTAAATCACGAGACGGCAAATGATTATTTGATATACTTAGAATAGAGGAGTAGGAGCGTGACGGCTGCCGCGATGACCGAGTTGACGATTCACAAGGCCCAAGCCATCTGTGCTACCCAATCGGCCCAAGCCGAACCTGTTGGAGCCAAGATTCTCAACTAGCGCATACTAATACTACTAACACATGACCGCACTAGCAAATACGGATACTAAACTATACGGGCCGGACCAGAATACCTCCTGTCTTGATTCATGAAAACGCCACTGTATTAGCATTTGGAATGCTTTGAAATCATGGAAAAGGGGCTCCTGGAGGTCAAGTACTTAAGGAATGTCTATATAAACTAGAACAGAGTCCATAGAATTGAAGAGGACAGGGATTTCATACATCGCGGAGCGTATGTCCAAAGGGAGTTAAGTCTCTTCCTCCAATAGCAAGGCATACATCAACACACATGTTAACAATTGTCCAAACAATTGGTATTGCACCCAAAAAGAGGGAATGATAAGGAACTCGTGTTATAGGAAAATATATTTTAGGCCACAATGTATACCGCGTCGCGAATATGATGACAGCGAGAGGAATACCACCAAGCTCAATGCGAAGACAATGATGGACAGCCAATGGAGCGGCGAGCCATCGACTGTTGTAAGGAAGTTGGTTGAGAGAGTTGGCGACAACTCCTGTGCCCATCGTCACCGCGGAACCATCTGTTCAGAGATCGATTGAACAAAACACCGTTGAAACAAAGAAAGACAGTCCATATGAGGGTGTTGAATGGTGGATGGTTTCTTTCTAGTGTAGGGCGCAACTTGACAACTTGCCGCGTAGTGCCTGATATCCCAGCATAACTCGCTACCTAAATAGCAGGTTTGTTCATCCATAGTAGTGAGATTCTATTATATATCGGTGAAATGACGGACAATAACCCTTTCGACCTGCCGCAAGAGATCATAGCACAGATCCTTCAGGTTTGATCTATTAACAGCTCCTAGGTTCTTTCCTTCGCTGACGTCTGCCAGGGTTTGAGTAAACATGATCTCTTCGCACTACGGTTAACATCGTGGCAAAATAACAAGTCTTGTATTCATGCCTTCCAACAGGTGGTGTTAGAAAATCTTCGAAAAGCTGGTTCTTCATCCCACCTCCACCGAGCGGCAAGGTTGTGTTTACATAACTGTGTGCGGTGGCTGTTGGATTTGGGAGTTGCAGTGGACAGTCGAGATTCTGCCGGGGAGACAGCACTCCACGCCGCGACTCGCGGAAACTGCTTAGAATCGATCAACGTCCTTCTTCATTTGCGGGCAGATATAAATGAGCAATCTGCTCTTGGATGGACGCCAATTATGTTGGCAGCCAGATATGGGCATCTCAATATCGTCAGACGCCTGACGAGATTAGGCGTAGACATCAATTATAGAGGATTTCACGGTTGGACGGCGCTACACCTCGCATATCGTTATAGATATGCAGAAATAGCCATGTTTCTCCTTTCTGCAGGGGCTAAAGAAGACATTCCGGACAATGATGGCATCTTACCATACGAGGCTAGCCAACGGACACAGTGCTGGGGAGCTTTGTTCTAATTACCGGATGATTTTAGAGGTCAAATGGATACAAAAGGGTGCAGCCATTTTTCAGAATTTGTGGTTAGTTGTAGATCCAAATGTGCTCCTTTCTCAGACCGCCGAACTTAACAATCTAAGAGATCTTCCAGACGCTGACCATGTCCATTCCTCGACCTTGCTCATATGACCGTTCTGGTTTATAATAAAGCACTCTCTTAAATGGGCCGTGCTGTACGGACTGCACCTCACCACTCGATTCAGTGCCAAGGAGAATCCCATCTCCGCCTTTAGCAAGCAGATTCCAGTAGACACCTTTGAGACCCCAAGGCGGTCCCACGACATCAAGATCTTTGTACAGTGGGAACTCCAAGCAGATCAAGATCCCTGTGGGGGATAACAGCTCCTGCATCTGTCGCGCCCAGGCTTGTCGCATCGTAGGGGGAATGGCACATAAGAACTGTAAGTTTAAGGTTTGGGTGAATCAGTCATGGTGGTCACATCTTTTCGTATTTGGCCGAGGCGAGAAAGAAGACGAAGAAAGAGAACCTTACCGTATAGTCATAGATCAGATCAAAACCTTTAAGTGTACTTTTCTCCTGCTGACATTCTCCCACCCAATCTGACTTGAAAAAGTCCCCAACCACAAACTTAACATTACCCTGTTCGACAGAAGGTCGCTTCTCCGGGTCTGAGAAGTTTTGCGCTGATGGATTCGTCAGTTCAGCTTTTGCATGCGTATTCCCTGCCGACACAGCGGTCTGCGAGACTTCGAGGCCATAGGCATCTAAGCCATGTAGGGCGAGCATGAGGACGTCATATCCCCGCCCACATGCCTAATATTCAGAAAAATTGGGTCAGCATCAGGATTACTCCGATTTCATGAAGAAAGTGGCTGTGGCACCACAGGGATGATATGGATTTAGACGTACCGGCACCAATGCCTTCAAACGTCGTCCATCAGGTTTCTGCGGCAGAAATTGATGAAGTTTTTGTTCGACAAAATCGACGAGGGCAGGCGAGGGCTTTCCTCGGTCCCAGAGGTCGCTTTGGTCCGAGTCCCATAGCTCCTGCCACCCTGCATTCTGGTCCGCTGGGGATTTTAGGTCTCTGTTGTTTCAGGTCAGCCTTGTAGAACCCCCCGGAGACATGACATAGAATACTGATCACCTCTTCTGGAAATGCGATACCAAGCGACCGGGCTGCTCCAGAACCCGTTGCTTCGGATCGGTCATTATTGAGAAGAGTGGCTATGTTTGCGGCTATTGAAAAATCTAGAGATTCTCGAGTCGGGTACTGTAGAAATTCATCTTTTATTTCATGACGTAGAACCAAATACCTGTGATGACTAAGCTCCACTGTTTTGGAGGTTAGGCTACGACTTATGCGCTAGTACTATAGTGCCTAGGGCCTACGAATAGGGCGCGAATCGACATGTGGGCATTCATCACAACGACAAATCTGGCTAGGTGTGGCAAACTCCCGGCTGTTGACAAGCGTGACGCTCTGGGTTGGCATGTTGTGGGAACGATTGACAACTTTCTGTTCTATGTCCTGTCGGGTTGGAAATATTTGCCGGGCAATAGCTTGGGTCCAGTACTAATACTGGTAGCACCAGATTTGTACAGAACCAACTGGGATCACAGTGCTAAAATCCAAACTCTATCTCGGAGGTTTATGAATATTCAAGCATAACCGCGCTCCAGAATCCAATTGTCAACTCCGGGCTTTGTTAGGTGATGTAGAAAGCTTGTGTAAGGTGTGGCTCTCTTCCCACAGTACTGGTATGGGCAATCACTTTGGTTTCTAAGACAGACCCAAATCAAAAGGAAAGACCAGGTCGTCCACGCTGGTCCATTCGGAAAATCCAGAGCCACAGGCATCTGTAACTGAAGGCGAGGGGTCTTGCGTCCCGGCCTGAATATCCCGTGCTGAAACGGGGAACACAACTCCAAAGTTATCGGATCGTTGTATTCCAGCCCGAAATGCACTAGGTGGACAATTACTGGTGCCATTGGCGCGAAAATTTATAGGCTTCAGATTACCCCGTGTAGGAGACAACTGGCTGAACTCAGCTAAACACTCCGGTGTTTGCCAGCACAAAGGCAGATTGTTTAAATCCAAACCCTCGTTGACCATATATGGTGAGAGCAGATCGTTGATGATGTCTGTTCCTCCGAAAGGCGACGATACTTCTGGAGGTAGCGATGTAGAGTCAAGCGGCGTTGGTAACGATACACCTGCATCTCCAAAAGCACATGCCTGCAATACCTTTGGGGTTTTGGAAGGGAGCAAGGGATATTCGTCAAACTGCGTCGGGGGCGGGATGGTGGCCGACTGCAGACGGACTCCTTCTTTGAATAATCGCAGCCATTCGGCATTGTCGGCCGGGGTGTGGTTCCAAGCGTCGTCGTCTCCGAACATGATTACTCGTGCCTGTCTTCGCACGGTCTCGTCAGTGACGACGACACCGTCTCTCATGGCTCGCATCGCGTAGTCGCCGAGGCGTGCGGTTAGCGACTCGAAGCCTGTAGGCCCTCTCCGTACATGTCCATCAGAGTTTGTCGCTCCGTTCACGTTTCGTGAGGCGCTGAATGGCTCGAACTCACTCCTCTCACCGCCAATCAAATATGGTGGCATGGCGTTCACGACGAGCAAGGCTATCTCCGGATCTAACCCGCGACAACCTTTCCATTCCTTCATAGATGTTCCCTCCCGGAAATGCTCCGCAATGTGGTCGTTGCGATCAGACCAACTGACAAATCGCTCTTCACAGAAGCCGCAACGGCAATTCACCCAAGTAATCATGCTCTTCCATGCAGCCATCGAGTCTGTCATACGCTCAACTCTGTGAACTAGACGTAAGTGTTGCCGCAAGTGGTCTTTCCGACCGAAAATTCGTTGAGCTGCAGGCTTTGCCGCACATTCATAGTAATTGTGTGATTGTAGATGGGAGGCGGTGGGATTCGGGGCTTCACAGAAAGCACAACGCGAAACTTGGCCAAAGCAGATTGGGCCTTGAGGACAGCAAACCCATTTCTCAAGAAGGAGGTGTAAGGTGCTTTCATGGCGTGTCCAATCATATTTTGACTTGAATGTGTCTGTGCAAAATGTACACTGAAATCTACGTGCCTTATAGTCATTCTGAGTGTTTCTTGATGGCGGTTGAAAATGCTCGAGAGAACGACGTCGGCGTCGACGCGAAATATGCCAAGAGCGGCTCAAATTCGAATTTGAGGCGCTGGACTCAAACGAACAGGCACTCTCTTTAGAATTTGACGATTGACTGGTCTTCGCAGAGCTTAAAGATTCAAATGATATATCAGAATACGCACGGGGAGGATGGCTTGGTGCGTTGAAAGAGTTGGGTGGCAACGGGGGACCCATGTCCCCAAAGTTGTGTGAATCACGAACTGCGGCCGCAATCGCGTCCAATGGTGCAGGTTCCTGGTCCGGGGGAGAGTTGCGCCAGCGATCCAAGGGACCCATGTTCTGCCATTTCGCCGTGCTCGCCAGATTGGGGACAGACATGGATCCTGCAGACGACCTCGCATGCTTGTCGATAGAGCCCGCAGGATGTCGACGGCGCGCGTTGGCAAACCAATTGGATATTTGTCGAGCACTGAGATTTGTCTGCTCCCGCAACATCTTCTTGTCTTGTTCTGTCGGATAAGGGTGAGATAAGTGCGCTGCAAACCACCGTTGCAAGACCTTGGTCACGAGTCTAGGAAGCCGTGCGGTGGACGCTCTGGACAGATCGATTCTATCGAGGTGCGTAGTTGTCGCGGACGGCGGGTCGTCACCGGTCCAGGAGGCACTGTGGTCATGGGTTGTGCCTGATGCCATCTTCCCGGCTAGTCTCAGACGGCGGACAGCGGTCAATGCCTTGGACAAGGTACTATCACGTGCCGAGTGGTGAATCCTGGAATTTTGACGAAGCGCGCAGCAGATATATAACGGCTAAATTCGGATGGAGGAGATTGAGGACGCCAATGGAACATGCCTGTGGCAAAGCAGGTGGTATAGGAAAGAGAAGTTGGATTGAAGTGGAAACGTCTGGAAGATGGGTAGAACAGTAGCCAAATGAAGGTGCTCGGGTAGAAAGGTGGTGGGATGAGGGGGGACGTGCTGATGTGAGGTTGTGGTGCAGATCACAAAGTTTCCCCGCTTGGAACTGAAAGCCAGCATCTTTAATTCGTTAGCGAATCACCCACTCGAACTTTGCCTTATTTAATGCACTTCAAGTCTATGCCTCGTTGAGCCGCATTGAAGCCATTGAAGCAAATACATTGTTCGTGGATGTAGATGTGCAAATCAATTTGACCGGCGTGGGGCAGTGAAACTGCCGTAGCCAACCATATGGTTAGCGAGCGTCCAAGTCACGTGCTGGAGAAAGATGCCACGATCTTTGGATGAGTAGCTTGAAGGTAACTTTGTCCAGAACGGTCGGCTAAGAAGCAGCGCGCCATATATCCAGGGGAATCAGTGGAAGGCGACACCAGAGTTCCAAGGCATCCGAAAAGCTGTCCACCACTGTATCCGTGTTGGGATGACATAAAGCGTAATTAATTAGTCTCGTTTGGTGCTAGAAGTTGTCAAAACACGCCCTACCAACGCCCCACACGTAATTAGCTCGTACCTAGGCATATACGTAGGAAACTCTAGCGCTCTTCTGATATGTAGGCCCGTTCGAGCTTCTACTCCTTCTTCATCACTGAGACGAACGGCTGCCGACCTGACCATCGCCAGAGGCACCACTTTGGATGCGAGTCATGTCAGCCAAAATTACCACTCCCTATGGCCACGCCGTCCCCCCCGCACCCCGACATTCAGTCACCGTCCACATGCCCACATGGGAAAACGTGGAGAGATATGCTGCCGATTCACGTTCCGTAATTGCAACTTTTCAGAATGCTTATCCTCGAATGAAACCACATAGGGACATTACCAGTGTGGGCTTCTGACCTTAAAACCTTTAAAGTCCAAGGTTGAATCGGCTAACGCGATCTGCAGCTTGCTTTGGCTATTTTGAAGCATCTAAGTCTCGAAAATCAAGCATCCTTTTTGTTTGCTTCGCTGCAATCGGCTAAAGAATGCCTCGATTATTCTACATCGCCGAGGCGCAACAAAGGAGCAAACAAAAAGCCGGTTGCGTATCACCAGATTCAGATCCGCGCCTTCCGCATGAAAGATCGAATCTATGCCGTTGTTTTTCCTTCGGACAACCTATCTGTCGTCTCGGGATTTTGGAGCACGCCCGGTGTCGGCGTTTCATCTCGATTTGCAGAAGCAAATCTGGCCTTCATCGATCAGCTTGTGGAAGTAGAACTCTCGGAGGACAACCAACCCAGGTCGAGTTTTAATGCATCCGTTCATGACGTCTTACGACAGAGAATCATCCATTACCTTAGACGAGCTGTATTGCATCCCGATTCGCAGCTACGACCTTCAACGGAAGACAACTATTTCTTTCCCACGGGTATGGCTTCAATCTACAAGCCGCATTCGTATCTAAGCAAGTTATATCACGGCACGACTGTTCTTTTCGGTATGGCATTTATGAATACAATAACCGCGTTCCAAGAATTTGGCTCAGATTACAAATTTTTCGGCTTTGGTACCGATAATGACTTGCATGCGCTAGAGATCTTTCTCAACGAAGAACGCGACCATGGCCGGAAAGTACAAGCAATATGGGCAGAGTTCCCGGCGAATCCGATCCTTGTCACCCCAAATCTTGTGCGACTTCGTGCACTAGCAGATGAATACGACACAGTTCTCGCCATTGATGACACAATCGGCAGCTTCGCAAATATCGATGTCATGGACATGACTGACATGCTCGTCACCTCCCTCACAAAATCTTTCAATGGCTATGCAGATGCCATTGCAGGGAGTGTAGTCCTCAATCCTGCTTCTCGACGATATGGAGAACTGAAAGCTCTCTTCGACGAACATTACGTTCCAGAGCTCTACATTACCGATGCGGAAGCCATCGAACGAAACAGTCGCGACTATCTAACACGGACGATTCGGCTCAACCACAATGCCAGTTGTCTGGTCGACTATTTACATTCGTGCGCAGAAGACCCTCAAAGCGCCGTTCACAAAGTACATTACCCGTCCGTCATTGACTCTGGTGTTCATTATCGGCAATTCATGCGTCGCACGACACCAGACTTTACTCCAGGCTATGGCTGCCTCTTTAGTGTTGAACTTGAGGATCTTCCGACAACCATCGCTTTCTACAACAATCTCAATGTACACAATAGTGTGCATCTCGGGGCTCCATTCACTCTCGCATTTGCATACACCATGTGTACATATGCAACAGAGTTAGATTGGGCAGCAAAGTATGGTTTAAAGCGCACTCAAATCAGAATATCTGCGGGACTTGAAGACACTGACATTCTACTCGAGGACTTTAAAATCGCTGTTGAAGCGGCGAATAAAGTTAAGCATTCAGCGTAAGCTGGAGAAAGAGCTACACCGAAAGCATGGCAACGATCTACTAGGTCTGTCATTGCTGAGCGGACCGCACTGTCGATATCGTGCCGATACGCGAGCCATGACTTTTACGAAGAGCTCGTGCATAGTCCTTCGCATAATGGCGCGGTCCAATAAACGACCCGCATTATGGCCTTGTCCGGGGCTCGTGGTGGTGGCGGCGCGGGGCTGGTTTAATTGCTTGAATTCACGGTAGATATGTGTTGAGCCACTCTCTTCAAAGCTCCTGAATGAATATGATTAGATTCCGAGCAAAATTTCCGAAGCAGGTTTGACTGGTGAAGAGACTATCCTTATTTGGCACCCAATTTTTACTCTTAGCGACGTTGTAAGTTATGGATGGTAGGAGATAATATCAGCGTCTCGATCTTGGTTGGATCATCGATAGGAGCCGTTAGTAAGGCGGTATCCGCTGACGCAACTAGCTGAACGCTGAGATTCGTCGACCGTTGTGAACAGCAGGACGCAGTGACCCCATCTCTAGCGAGGGCAGAAGTAGTATCCTCATCGCAAATAAGAGCCCTACGCGTCTCTTCGGGCTTGGGTTTATAATATATTAATTAACACGGTGTAGACAGAGTGAGGAATGGGAGCGAACGAAGAAGGCTAGTTTACTTTTATCCGGAGGACAGGGTTTAGATCTATAGTGGAAGTAGCTAAAGTTAAAAGAGTAGAATATATCGTAGTTTTCTATCTTAGTAAATAACTTAAAGTTTATCTAAGTGAAAGAGTATAGGCCTATATTATATAGGCGTAGGCTCCGTCGTAATATCTCGTAAGTACGAGAGTAATAGCCGAGTACTCGTAAATACGAGTTAACTCTTAGAATACTTAGAAATTAAGTTAAGTAATTTCTAATCCTATTATATTAGGGCTCGAGGCGCTTAGTTATAAAAGAAGAGAAAAGGAGCCTTAGTATAGAAGAATAAGTAAATAAGGAGAAAAGTAGAGAATTTAAGCGACGAGAGAAAAGGAGATAAGTAATATTATATACGAGAGCGTATATTAAGTATTAAAGAGTAGTTCTAAGAATATAGTTTATAGAATTAATAGTATTTTCCTTCTAAAAGTTCCGCTATATAACTATATAGCCGAAGTTTTAGTAGTAGTAACCTTTACGAATAAGGCTATTATAGCTTTATATATATCTATTACGAGAAGTCTTAAAAGTATAGTTCTTTAGCGGACTTAAGACTATAGAAATCTATAGCTTAACGATTCCTTTACTAACGTAGATAAGTAAAGATTATTATTCTAGTTATAGTTACTATAGTATTCGTTTTAGTATCGGTTAGTTCTTTTCCTATAGTCCTAGAAGAAAGAGCTCCTAGTAAGGTAGCTCTACTCCTTTATCTAACCTATAGAATAGGCGAGGATATATACTAATTTAATCTTATTATAATATAGCTTTTTTTAGTAGTACCTTAAGTATTACTACTTTAATTAACTAAATAAGGTATTCTATATTATTAGGAATACCCTAAGAGGCTTCCTAGTAAGTATATAACTAATAGGTCCGAGAATACCTCGTACTTCGTACGAAACTCTAGTCTTTTTAAGCGATCCTTAAGGACTTACGAACCTATTACCTAATATTATCTCGTACGAAGTACTAGGGCGAATCGTAAGATCTCGACGTAGAATACTAGGTACGAGAGTCGTACTCGTTACGCTAAGTATATACGAAGCGAGAATTTAATTCCTAGTAAAAATACTAAGTAAGTTCTTTACTCGATTTATAACTTAAGTTATTTATACGAAGAAATATATATATAAAGCTTAGTTCGCTTCCTAAAACTTTAATATATAGCGTAGCTCTATAGATACTTATCCTTCTAGAAGTTATACTATAGAATAGTACTATATAACTTAAGGACGAGCCGCCTAGAAGAAGAAATAATTATTAGAAATACTTTAAGAGGCTTCTTAGTAAGTATATAACTAATAGGTCCGAGAATATCTCGTACTTCGTATAAGATTCTAGTCTTTTTAAGCGATTCTTAAGGACTTACGAACCTATTACTTAATATATATACTTCCGCGAGTCGTTATTAGCGACTAAAGTAAAGGTTTAACTACGTCGATTTTAAGGGCGTTTTCTTACGTAAAATAGTAGTTTTATAACTAGTACTATATTAAGATTAAATCGATATATATTCTCGCCTATCCTATAGGTCGAATAAAGGAGTAGGGCTACGTTACTAGGGGTTCTCTTTCTTCTAAAATCGTAGAATAAGAACTAATCGATATTAAAACGAGTACTATAGTAGCTATAACTAGAATAATACTCTTTACTTATATATATTAGCGAGGAAATAGTAACGATATCGATCTCTATAGCTTTAAGCCCGCTAAAGGGCTATACTTTTAAGACTTTTCGTAATAGACGTATATAAAGCTATAATAGCCTTATTCGTAAAGGTTACTACTACTAAAACTTAGGCTATACCGTTATATAGCCGAACTCGTAGAAGGAAAAAATGCCCTCCTTTCTATAAACTATACTCTTATAACTACCGCTTAATACTTAACCTACACTCTCTTACGTAGCGTTACTTATTCTCCTATACTAAGGCCCCTTCTCTCTTCCTTTTCTAAATAAGCGTCTCGAGTCCTAATATAGTACGCCGTCGAGGCGATAGTCGTAAAGATAAGGTTATTAGGTATTCTAGGAGACGATATAAAAGCGACTTATAAAAGCGCCTATTAGCGATATATTACCTTAAAGTCGATTTATAGACTTATAAAGAACTAACGTATTTTAGGCCTTACTATCGGCCCTTAATTTATAAGATATTTAGTCGAAACTTAGGTTCTAAAGGAGGAAAAGATTATATATCTCTATATATAAAAATTAGCTAATTTAGGCTTTACCGCTAGTTAAAGAGTAAAGTTATACTACGATATCGTTTAGGCTACGTAACGAGATAAGCTAAACCTAGTTAAAAACTCGAAACCTAACCTAATAGAGTTAAGTTAATCGGGTTTTTAAAGTAGCTAAAAACCTAATAGATATTTTAAGTAGGTTAAAAAATAGAGGATAGGGTTTAAAACCTACTAAGGCTACTAAGAGTTACTAAAAGATAGAAAAAAATTACTAAAAATAGTAATAATCTAAGTAATAATATCTATTTTTAGTAATTTAGGCTACTAAGACTTAATCTAATAGGAGTATAAACTCTATTAGGTTTTTATAAGGACTAAAAACTCTATAGGGCTTTTGCTCGGGTTATAAAAGGTCTACGAATTGTCTAATCTAACTCGTTACGTAGCTTAATACCGCTACTAAGGAGCTATTAAATACTTAATTATTAGATAAGGAGTTAGTAAAACGACTTATAATTAAGGTCAACTTAATTATTAAGGATATAGACTAGGATAAGGCCTTTTCGGTAGGTAGCTACTTACTACTTACGTAAAGCGTACCTTTTTATCTACTTCGTAGAAGTATAAGTAAATTTACTCTTAAGCGCCTTAAGCGCTAATAGGCTACTCTCGGTACTTAAATTACTATAGAATATAAAGTAGACTCACCGTTAAATAACTATAAGTATAAGGATTTACTAAGCTTTAGTATTATCTACGCTTATTACCTACAAAAGGCCTATATTAAGAATTTACCGATACCGAAAACGATAATTTATCTATATTAGTAGCTAAATAGCTCTTTAATTTACTCCGCTAACTAGAGGCCTTTCTATATAGTTAAGTAGCCTATACTAAGTTTAATTAATAACTAAATACCCTTACTTATCGCTTAAATATCTATAGTTCGAGGCCTTTTAGGCCCTAAGTAGAAGTACTAGTTAGATATCTAATAAGGCTAGGCGGAGCGCTAGATCGAGAATAACCTAATATTTATACTATAAAGTCTTCTACGTTAGATAGAGTGTAGCTACTCTCTATAGTAAACCCCTCTATATCTACTAGATACTCGTAGAGAGGGTTCTCTAGCTCGTCGAGGCGGCTATAGACCTACTAACGAGCGAGTACTTACGACTAATAAAAGGACTATATAGTAAGAGCGGCGGAAGCGATAGATAGTTCTATAATAACAGCGCCTATAAGTAACTTAGCTAATAGAGTAAAAAGTAACGTTAGAGTAAGTAGATATTAACTCGAAGGCCTAAGGATTATAAGAAAGGATTAATACTATAGAAACTATAGTAGAAGTAGTCCTTAAGAGTATCCCTAAGACTCCCCTAAGGTCTATAGGTCTATCTTTACCTATAAGGACGCCTAAGAGGCCTTACCTACGCCGTAAGGCCTTACCTAAGGCCTCACCGAGTGCTCTACTACCGACCTTAAGAGCGCCCCTACTACTCACTAGAGGTAAAAGGCGTAGGTAACCGACTATAAGACTAATTAAGGCGCGTAACTAAGGATTCATTAAGTAATAGTTAAATATATACTTATTCATTAATATTAATGTAAACCGATGTAAAACTACTATAAAATTAGGTGCGAAGTCTACGCCTTAGCATAATCGCTGCTAATAATCTCGCCTAAAACGCTCCCATTAACTATCTAATCTATATAATACGTCTTAATACTTTATGCTTACTGATTCTCTCCCTAAACTAAAGGAATATATTGTGGTATCTATTATGCTCTCTAGCCCCTAAGTACTTACGCATAGCTAGCTCCACTAGCTAACCCTCGCGAACCCTAATACAATCTTAGTAAGTAAAACTCGAGATCTAGTTCCGCTAATATAAATAGATAGTAAATCTATATTAAGCATTAAATCTTCTACTATATATATACATATATAACAATCTTAGTCTTTATATTTTAAAAGCTCTTAAATACTTACTATATCTTGAATCTCTTAATCTAGGCAACTAAGATGGCCTCTAAAAAGCGATTCAACTCGACTAATGAATTATCTAGACGATTTATACCAAAATGTAACCAGTGTTGGGCGGCATCGCGTAAATGTGAAGGTCTACCCGGGCAAAGGT